TTAATTCCTTTTCAATGTGCATCAAATTCCAAAGGCGCTGTAGCTATTACTTTTAATTATTAATTAATCGCTTGTTTTCTCTTTATTTTTATTTATCTATTTTATTCATTTATTAATTATTATTATTATTTTTTTTGTATCCTCCTAGTTCTGAATTCTTAATTACTTTTTTTAATTTCAAATCATCACACTTCATCGTCTCATTACCTTATTCCAAGCATTATCACTTTCGAAATATCGTAATAGAATCTTTAGAAATGCCTATCCCTCATTAAATTTTTCCCAATTCCAGATTTTCGCCAATTCCAAATTCCTAATTCCGGATTTTCGCCAATTCCAATTTCTTAATTCCAGATTTTCGCCAATTCCAAATTCCTAATTCCGGATTTTCGGATTTTCGCCAATTCCAAATTCCTAATTCCAGATTTTCGCCAATTCCAAATTCCTAATTCCAGATTTTCGCCTTCCGGAAATTCCAATTTCTTAATTCCAGATTTTCGCCAATTCCAAATTCCTAATTCCGGATTTTCGCCATTTCCAAATTCCTAATTCCAGATTTTCGCCAATTCCAAATTCCTAATTCCAGATTTTCGCCGATTCCAAATTCCTAATTCCAGATTTTCGCCAATTCCAAATTCCTAATTCCGGATTTTCGCCAATTCCAATTTCTTAATTCCAGATTTTCGCCAATTCCAAATTCCTAATTCCGGATTTTCGATTCCTAATTCCAGATTTTCGCAATTCCAAATTCCTAATTCCAGATTTTCGCCAATTCCAAATTCCTATTTTCCGGGATTCGCCTAAAAGATTTTCGCAGAGCCAGATTCCAAATTCCTAATTCCAGATTTTCGCAGATTCCTGACCTGCATTCCATCTCATTCCCTTCCTCCCTCAACTAAGCTTTTCAGTTCCCTTGAATACTTCGTCCTTTAACGGGCCTTTGATGACGCGAATTAATTAGGCTGTGACAGATTTTTTTTTTTTTTTGGGGGGGGGGCATGAGTGGATTTTGCTTAAAAAAAAAGGAAAAAATGAAAAAAATCAGCGGCGGGGTGAGGGGGGGGGGGAAGGGGGTACTTTTGATGTACTTTGAATCTATCTTTTTTTTTTTTTTTTTATATGTATTCGTGTTTGTTGTTTTGTGTGTTTGTGTGTTGTGTGTGTGTGTGTGTGTTGTGTGTGTGTGTGTGTGTGTGTGTGTGTGTGTGTGTGTGTGTGTGTGTGTGTGTGTGTGTGTGTGTTGTTGTGTGTGTGTGTGTGTGTGCGTGTGATTTCGTTTTTATTTTCGCTTTTCATAACTTTTATTAGCATTATTTATGTTCTTTTTTCCATTTTCTACTTTTTTGTTTTCCTCATCTTCCTCCGATTCTCCCTTCTACATCCTCTCTTCCTTTCCTTTCGTTTCCTTTCCCAATTACTTATTTTCTTTCCTTTTCTTTCCCTTTCCTCTTTTCTTCATCATCTTCCCCTTCTTCCGATTCTCCCTTCTACACCCTCTCTCCCTTTCCTTTCGTCTCATTTCCTAATTATTTACTTCTTCTTCGTTTCCGCTTTACCCTCCTTTTTATTATCCATTATCTCTTTTTTCCCCAAATGCAAACAACCAATGACACTAATTACCTCATTTGCGTCACGTGACTTCTGAAGCAATTTATGGAACCAAAAATACGTCAAAAGTTTAGTTTAACATCTCCGTAAACAAACATATAAACAAACAAGAAATAAGGAAAACTGCTAAAAAGTAAACAGAGCAATCAACAAACAAGTAAACAATCAACAAACAAGTTAACAAACAATTACCAAACAAAACAAACAGTCAACAAACAAGTTTTCCAATTAATCAACAAATAAGTTAACAAACAATCAACAAATAAATTAACAAACAATCAACAAACAACAAGCAATCAAAACAATCAACAATAAGTAAAGAGATTAAAACAATCAACAAATAAGTAAACAAACAAGATATCAAACAATCAATAAACAACAGAGTAGAAAAGCAAGTAATCAAACAAAAACAAGAGACCACAAACATCCCAACAAAAACAAACAACACCAAAACAGAAATCAAAACAATCAAGTAACACCAAAACAACACCAAACAATCAAGTAATCAACAATCAAAACAACACCAAAAACAATCAAAGTACAAAACAAAACCAAACAATCAAAAACAAACAAACAAACAATCAAGTAACAAACAACACCAAACAATCAAGTAAACAACACCAAACAATCAAGCAATCAAACAAACCAAACAATCAAGTAAACAAACAAAACCAAAACAATCAAGTAACAAACAAAAACCAAAACAATCAAGTAACCAAAACAAAACCAAACAATCAAGTAACCAAACAACACCAAACAATCAAGCAATCAAACCACCATAATTCGCAGCAACACAAATAAACATCGACGCTTCCATTGCAAATCCAATAGTATCGATTTCAAGCCATTTTTGCCCCTCTGGCTTGACAAACAGCTTGGAACGGCTTGCCAAGCTGACCGTGCTTTTGGTCTTCCGTGTTGACTTGGCTTGCTTTTTGCGTTCTTTTTCATTTTTTTTTCTTTCTTGCTTGCTTTCTGTCTTGCTTTCTTTCTTTCCTTCTTTCTTTTTTTCTTTCTTTCATTCTTTGTTTGTTTCTTTCTTTTTTCTTTCTCTCCTTCTTTCTTTCTTTCTTCCTTTCTTCTTCTTTCATTCCTTTTTTTCTTTCTTCTTTCTTTCTTCCTTCTCTCTTTTTGTTTTCTTTCCTTTCTTTCTTTTCTTTCTTTGTTGTTTCTTTCTTTTTTTTCTTTTCTTCTTTTTCCTTTCTTTCTTTCTTTCCTTCTTTCTTTCCTTCCTTCTTTCTTCCCTTCTTTCTTTCTTTCTTTCCTTCCTTTTTCCTTTTTTTCTTTCCTTCTTTCTTTCTTTCTTCTTTTCTTTCTTTCTTTCCTTCTTTCCGTCTTTCTTTCCTTCTTTCTTGTTTCTTTTTTTCTCTTCTTTCCTTCTTTCTTTTCTTCTTTCTCTTTTCTTTCTTTCCTTCTTTCCTTTCTTTCTTTCCTTCTTTCTCTTTCTTTCTTTCCTTCTTTCTTTCTTTCTTTCCTTCTTTCTTTCTTTTCTTTCCTTCTTTTCTTTTCTTTCTTTCTTTCCTTTCTTTTCTTTCCTTCCTTCTTTCTTCCTTTCTTCTTTCTTTCTTTTCCTTCCTTTTTCCTTTTTTTCTTTCCTTCTTTCTTTCTTTCTTTCTTCTTTCTTCTTTCTTTTTTTGTTTCTTTCTTTTCTTTCTTTTCTTTTTCTTTCCTTCTTTTGTTTTCTTTCTTTCTTTCTTCTTTCTTCTTTCTTCTTTCTTCTTTCTTTTCTTTCTTTCCCTTCTTTCCTTTCTTTCTTTCTTCTTTCTTTCTTCTTTCTTCTTTTTCCTTCTTTCCTTCTTTCTTTCTTTTTTCGCTCTTTCTTTCTTTCTTTTCTTACCTTCTTTCTTTCTTTCTTCTTTTTCTCTTTCTTTCTTTTCCTTCTTTCTTTCTTTCTTTCCTTCTTTCTTTCTTTCTTTCCTTCTTAATTTCTTTCTTTCCTTCTTTCTCTTTCTTTCTTTCCTTTCTTTCTTTCCTTTCTTTCTTTTTTCTTTCCTTCTTCTTTCCTTCTTTCTTTTCTTTCCTTTCTTTCCTTCCTTTCTCTTTCCTTTCTTTCCTTCTTTTCTTCCTTCCTTCTTTCTTTCTTTCTCTTTCTTTCCTTCCTTCTTTCTTTCCTTTCCTTCCTTTCTTTCCTTCTTTCTTTCTCTCTTTTTTCTTTCTTTTCCTCTTTCTTTCTTTCATTGCCCTTCTTCTTTTTTGTTTGTTTTTGTTTTTACTTATTCAAAATATTAAAAAAAAAAAAGCTGAGGGTTACGGGTTGCACAGTGATAATTGTCTCGTGAATTTTGAATGTTGCAATTTAAATTGTTGGATGGTGCATTGCAAAAGGGCGCTGCCTGTGCTCGGTCATTTGCAAGATAGGGAGGAGAGGTGGCTGTGAGTGAGGTGTGAGGAGGGAGGAGGAAGGAGGGAAGGGGGGAGAGGGCGGTTGGGAGGGAGTCGGAGAGGAGAGTTAGGCGAGGGAGGGAGGGAGGGGAGGAGGGAGGGAGGNTCTCTCTCTCTTTCTCTCTCTCTCTTTCTCTCTCTCTCTCTCTCTCTCTCTCTCTCTCTCTCTCTCTCTCTCTCTTCTCTCCTTCTCTCTCTCTCTCTCCCTCTCTCTCTCTCTCTCTCTCTCTCTCTCTCATATTAGAGTCCATTTCAATAAATGAGGTATGTCACACTGTGCATAAGATTGAATATGGTGTTATTAAAGGATAAAAACTCACTCATTTTTGCGTCTTATTTTTTATGAAATCCATGGATTTATGCTGCCACCACAGCTTCAGTACTTTCTCTTTGTCATACTTCAAGACAGTGACACTGGCTAAAAGACAATGTGATAAGTTGACACAAGGAGACTGATCATGTAAACAGGAGTGAAGATTACATGTTCACATCAGCGGCAAGAGAGTGCCATGTTTTGGTGCATGACATCTTCCAGGCATAGCAGGCAAATTAAGTATGTACTTGATTTTGGCCTTTATGCAAAATAATAGACAATCATAGCATTACACATCCTGTTCTCCTACAGACAATGCCCTAGGGCATGTGGTGTGGGCATGAGGGTTCCTTTTCAAGAAGGGCATAAGATGTGATGCAAACATCTATGTAATATGACTTGAATGACCTGTTGCTGGGAGCTGCGCCCAAGTCAGCTGGTACTTGAATAACACGTCACCCAGACCTACAACCAAGTCAGCCATGATGTGAAGGCCACATCATCTGTAGGCTTTGAGTTAATCTCCTCTTTCTCATTCTTTTCATCTGCCTTTTATTTTTTGTCTTCCTCCTCCTAATTCTTTTCTTCCTTTGCCCCATTCTTATCTTTTCCGTCTTCTTGCTGTCTCTTTCTGTACAACTGTATGTTATATCAACAAATCTCATAGGTATATCATTTATCACAAACAATTATTAACATTATAAAAAATCCTTCCAGCGTCATTTACAGAAAAAGTCTGCCCTATGCGAAACCTGTGGCTCCGTGTTCGATGAGTGGCAGCACAAACCCAAGATTCTCAGCTGTGGTCATACATTTTGCCTCGACTGTCTCATCTGCCTGGCGCGGGACACAGAAGTCAAGTGTCCTGCTGGTTGTTCTTACACGACTGCTCTCACCGAGGCTGGTATCTCGGGTGAGTGTTTGTAAGAGAGCATTATGTGTGTGTGGATTTAATTTCCTTTCTCCAGGTGTGTTAAACTCTCTCTCTCTCTCTCCCTCTGTGTGTGTGTGTGTTTTTGTGTGTTTTTATGTATGTATTTTTGTGTTTGTGTTTGTTTGTGTATTTTTGTGTGTGTGTTTTTGTGTTTTTATGTGTTTTTATGTATGTGTATTTGTGTGTGTGTGTGTTTTTGTGTGTTTTTGTGTGTGTGTGTTTTTTTATGTATGTGTATTTTTGTGTGTGTGTGTTTTTGTGTATGTGGTTTTTGTGTGTGTATGTTTGTATGTGTATATGTTTGTTTATGTGTCTGTATTATGTGTGTGTGTGTGTGTGTGTGTGTGTGTGTGTGTGTGTGTGTGTGTGTGTGTGTGTGTGTGTGTGTGTGCATGTTTGTGTGTGTGTGTGTGTGTGTGTGTGTGTGTGTGTGTGTGTGTGTGTGTGTGTGTGCTTGTATCTTTGGTGAATAGAAAAGAGATTGAGAATAGTTTTGACAATATCTTTAAGAAATAATGATAAGACAAAGAAATTTTAAAATTGATGATAATAATGATAATAATTTTTACACTTCCTCCTAGGGTTAACTACAAATTACACTGTGCCGATTAAAAAATATCCCGGAACAAACATCCCCTCCCCATTGCCTGTTATGCCACCAGGGTATGGTCATCAGAATGGAGCACAAAGGTATTTCTATTAGTTGTTTTTTCTCCCTTATGTTTTCGATCTTTATATAGCAGGATACATAACTTTATTGTTGTGCAGGGATACTAGAATTCCTAAAGAATTCTCTGACAAAATGGTCATATAGTCTACAGTAGATTGTATGAACACCTTGTCATAGAATTCTTTCTATATTCAGATTCACAGCTACATGAGAGTGAAAGTTAGTATCACCACCACCAAAAGGGCATAGGGAGATGAAAGACATGCCATCCATGCAATCATGTTTTCAACACCCATAAAGCAAACCATGTAGTAACATATGCATAGGATCAAACCAACATTGGATTATATGGACAACAAGATTTGCTTTTAGGTAGGGGAGGATAATGATTAATAATGATGATAACTAATAACTATCGTTATGATTATAATGATAATAATGGTAATGATGATAATAATAATAGGCATTGTGATGATGATGTCAGAAATAGGAAGCTGCCTGTAATTTAGATATTGCGAGTATGAAATATGTACTAACTACTTTAAGTGGTAAATATTTTTTGTAGTAACATTCTTTTTATTAAAGGTTAATGACTTCCACTAGGACTTCTGTGTCAGAGAAAAAAATTAAAGCAGATTAGCTCCGAATATTAAGCCCTACCATCTGCATAATGTGACCATCACGTGATGAAAAAATTTGGCTTGCGGGGAGGGTGATGCAAACTTGCCAACTTAACCATTTCTGCTGAAGGCCAGGATGACAGGAATGCTTCTTCACTAGTGTACAAAGCTCTTGGAGGATGACTAGACTCACTTGGAGTTTATAAGGGGTTTTTGCATTATTTTCATCAATAAACGAGAGTGTAATATATGATTCATGAGCTATGATTGGTAGGGCGTCAGCATCAGGGAGGACATTATTTCCTTGCCCAGGATCTTATTCCTGGCTGATGTGACCAGTGGCACATGTTGTATTTTATGATTATGATGGAAGAAAGACGCAAATAACAAAGTGGTCCTTATTTTTATTATAATGTCACTGAGTTCTAGACTACCTAGAGAGATGATGATGAGTCTTTGCAAGGGAAACAGTCTATTACTGTATGGATAAGGCAAATCAGATGATAAATATAAGTATTGGAAAAAGGTCAAAAAGCTAAAAATGCCTATGCAGTAAAAGAGAAAACATTACAAAGAAGTGGCATGGAATCTCGTCACTGTACAAGAGGGTTCATGAGCCTACAAACTGCACACCTGTTAGAGTGGCCTCTCAAATAAGCCTGATACCCATATTTTTGGCCACATGATGGCAGTGAAGCATCCAGATCCAATAGTTTAATCTTTGGTTTAATGTAATGGTGATGGGGAAAATTTTGTCAAGTTGAGGTTGCATGTACATTAGTGTGCACCCCTCTAGGCCAAGGTGATTTTCAGGCATGCAAGATTTGTTAATTTCATGGTGGACATAGCCTGAAGATTTGAAAACCACGTTTGTCTGTGATTATTTTCTTTAAAATGAGATCTTGTCACCAGTTGTTGTTGGGTAAGGGGACCATTCCTAAATAGAGGGTGTCAGAGTGACATTAGGTGCTGGATGATCTACACTATTCATACATAAATGAGGAAATTACCATATGTTGTTAGACCCCACCTTTTTTGAGTTTGTGAATATTCATAGAACATAAAAACATGAATTA